TAACTGTAAAAGAAACTTGCTTAAATTTAGGAAACTAACTGATAAGAGAAAACTCATTCAAACTTTGAATTACATTTCAACAGCTGTACCTTTCTGTTTAAAACAGGTTAGATATCAAATCAATACTAAAAGACTCTCAGTTTCTAAGACGCAGAGCTACCTCATTATCAGAAGCTTTCTCTGACTTTACAATCTTTGGTGTCCCTGTAAAGCGGAATATAGAATTAAATAAGCCAAATTAACAAGAACAAAAAAAAAAAACATCTGGTTCTAAAGATCAATTCACGATAATCAGTTACCTTCAAAGCTTTTGTCAAGACTGCCGGTTCTTTAAACATATGCACGGAAGAAATAGATGAAATTGAGTGGGAGAATCTGGAGAAATCAATATCTCTCTGGATTCAACACTTTAATCTGGCGGTTAAAACAGTCTTCGTTTCAGAAAAAAGACTCTGCAACCAAGTGTTGGGAGAGATTTCAATCGTGGATTGATTCATCTGGCTCGAATGCTTTATTAAAATTACAGATAAAATCATAGTAGTCTTCTTTCGATTCGAAGAAGGCATTACCAGGAGCAGCAAGGAGCCACAAAAGCTCTTCAAGCTCTTAGACATGTTTGATTCCTTAGAGAAGCTCAAGCCAAAATTTATTGAGATTTTCGAAGGCCAAGCAGGAGCCGACATTGTTGCCAGGTTCAGAGAGTTCGATAAGCTGCTTGTTCATGCGTCTACTAGTTTTCTGGGAGTTTGGTCTACAGATTGAAGGAAACTCATATGGTCTCCTCTGTGTTATTTGTATATTTGGTTACTAATTTTTGTTATAAATTCCATTTTGTATTATTCTTTTATTCTTTGCCAGCACATACCTCATTAGCTAGGTAGGTTGTTGACTGTAGGGTGAGCTGGGTACATTCTAAAGTTGACGTGTATTTATTTTATTGGGCTAGTTATTTATTCCTTTCTGTATATAATCTTTCTTTTGGCTGTACAGAATATAGACGATCAATAAGAACTTTCTGTCTTTCTATCAATTAGTACCTTCTTCAAGCTATTTTTTGTATGTACATGGTATTGGAGCTAAAGCTCTTGATTTAATATTTTTTTCCTTTACCCTTATTCATTTATTTTTCTAAATATATGGATAAAGAAAAGGGTATTGTTGCAAGGGTTACACAAACTCTTACTAATGAAAACCCATTAATTATACATGAGTCTGATAATCCGATAGTATCTCTCGTTACAACTCCTCTTACGGGAAGTAACTATCTAACCTGAAGTACTGCTATCAAAATCTCTCTAGAAGCTAAGAATAAGATTGGCTTTATTTCTGAAGAGATTCAAAAACTAGATGAAGCAAACAAAGAATATGTTCAATGGAAGAGAGTGGATTATATGGTTAAATCCTGGATTCTTGGTTCTATTTCAAAAGATTTTGTGGATTCTTTCATTTACTATCCTATTGCTTAAGATCTATGGAATGAAATTGAGCTAATGTATGGGATCTGTAATGGGTTTCTCTTATATCAAATCCAAAGAGACATTATCTTGATGGAACAAGGTAGTAACTCTGTTATTATGTATTACATCAGGATGAAGAAGAATTGGGATGAACTTAATCACTTGACTCCAAGTCCAGTTTGTTCTTGCCAAAGTTGCACCTGTGATGTTACGAAGAGAATGAATGCGATGGATTCATCTAGCAAACTTATTCAATTTTTAATGGGTTTGAACTCATTATATAAAGGAGATAGAAGTCAAATTCTTATAATGGATCCCTTACCCTCTGTAAGCAAGGCTTATTCAATGATTTTATATGTAAAACAACAAAGGCAAGTGATTGTCTCTGCTACTGACGTTGTTGACAACAATGCATTATTGGCTAGATCCAACTTTAAAAATGAAAATATTGAAAAAGAAAATTCTAAGAAGAAGGATATAAAGAGGGAGATAGAATTTGTGAACACTGTAATGTCCAGGTCACCTGAAGGACTCGTGCTTCAAGGTACATGGTTATCCTGACTGGTGGAAAGATTTGAAGAATCAGAAGGGAAAAGCAGAACAAAAAAAAGGTGGCAGCCAACATGGTTGATGTCTCGATACTCCTCTTGACTTAGGAGGAACTTACTAGAACAAATTTATATATATTATTCAATAAGAGATAGCCATGTTTATGAAAGACAAAAAACCAACAGAGACAGAATAAGTTATGTTTGCTCATGGAATAGAATTTGCAGGTATATCCTCAGAAAATGCTCTATTCTTATTTGGTAAAAATTTTCAATCTACTATGTGGATCATAGACACAAGTGCAAACATGCACATTTGTTTTAATAAGGAATTGCTTCATGGAATGCATGATATTAGCTTAAGCACTCTTGTATATTTGCCTGATGGAACCACAAAAATTGTGAATCAAGTTTGTACTACTTTCTTACACCCACGTATACCATTGAAGGATGTGTTATATGTTCTCTATTTTCATTATAACCTTCGGTCTATTAATAAGGCTATCAAAACCTCTAACATGATATTTCTCTTTTATCCTGAATGTTGCTCGATATAGGACTTGAAGAGTGTTGAAGTGCTTGTAGTTAGTAAAGTGTTTGGATCACTTTATATCCTTGATAGCTCATCTTTCAAAGCTGTAGTTATAAATAAAGCCAAGAATCATATATGTCCTTTTGTTTCTCTACAAGGAAAAATCATTATGCCCATTTTTAATACTTGTAACTAATAATCTAATTCTGTTTCTTGTAATAGATTTTCACATTCCAATAATAAAGATGAGTTTTTTACTCAAATTTACCACTCTAGATTGGGTCATGCTTCTGCTTCTACCATGAAACATTTACATTTTATTAATCATCAATCTTGTCCATCTATTCAACTTTGTGATGTATATCATATGACAAAGCAACATAGGCTGCTTTTTCCCACTACCGGTATAAAAACCACTCGTATTTTTTATTTGATCCACATGGACATTTGGGGACCCTATAAACTGTATACTCATAATGGTGCTCAGTACATTTTAACTCTGGTTGATGATTTTAGCAGGAGAATTTAGACTTTCTTACTATATCACAAGTCTCAAACCAAAAATGTTCTTAGCAATTTTTTTAAAATGGTCCAAACACTGTTTCAATACCCAGTGAAGATAGTCAGGTCTAATAATAGTACTGAATTTATAAATCAGCAGTGTAAGTAACTGTTTACCTCCTTAGGCATTGTTTATTAAACCTCCTGTTCATACCCTCCCCCCCTCCAAATAAAATGAGGTTGTAGAGAGAAAACACAAGCAATTATTAGAGATAGCTCGAGAATTATTGTTTTAATCTAATTTTCCTAAATGTTTTTTAGAGAGATGCTATTTTGACAGCTACTTATTTTATAAACAGACCTAGCTCAATCTTACAATGGAGAACCTCATCAAAAATTATCTATGGTCATACACCAGATTACAGCATATTTAAGACATTTGGGTCTTTATATTTTATATCCAATAATTTGCTCTCTAGAGATAAGCTGGACTCTAGATGTTTTAAATGTATCTTTTTGGGTTATGTAGTAGATACGAAGGTTTACAAGGTTTATGATATACAACATCGTCAATTCTATATTTCCAGGGATGTTGTCTTTTATGAAAACTGTTTTCCTTTTGATTTAGTTAATTCTGAAAAATAAGACATTTCTCTACCCAGGGTTTATATTTCAGCTAATGTGTCCTTTTCTGATCCTAATTCCTCTCCCATTAATGCTACTAGTTCCATACATGATTCCTATTCAGAGTCTTCACAATCTCCTCATCTTCATGAGATTGTTCAATCACTTATAGTCAGCACTAGACACAGAACCAAACTTACTTGGATGAAAGATTTCATTTGCCATTCTGCCATCATAAATAATATACCAATTGCATTGCACAAGGAGCCTCCAGGTTCGATGGTCAGAGATTAGACACCTCCAACTTATCTATATCATGTTTCTTCTTATTTTTCATCTTCATATATAGCCTTTTGCCAACTAGTGGTAGAGGATCTCATAGAGGGTTATCTTTCTTTGCCAGATTTTGAGGTGGTCTCTCACATTTTAGACATAAACTTAAGTTACAGTTTAGTTATTTTGGGTTTGAGAGAAACTTCAAGCAATCCCTGGAATGTAGAATGAAGGATTTAACAATACAAGAATGGAACTTTTGGATTTAGGTTTCTCTGGGACCATTTTATTGTAGATCTGAAACATATAGTTAGAGATGGTTGTCTGCTTGATCCAATCCAAATCTGTAGTGATTGATTTCTTCTCATCAAAGTTTTACCGATGTGCCATCAAAATTGAGGTACTTTGGATCATGTTAAAAAGTTGATTAATAATGCACAGATTGAGTGATTACAAATGTGTGGTTTCATTAATGTGCCATCAAAACTGAGATACTTCGTATCATGTTAAAATGTTGATTAATAATGCACATATTGAGTGATTATGAATGTGTGTAATCACTTTTAACTTTTATGGTTGATGTTCTCTTCCTCTTTTCCTGTCTGTGCATAAGCTTTTCTTAGAAAGATCATCAAAAGCATTCTGAGGAAGATTTGAAATTATCAATCTTTTCAAAATACACATTATACTAGTATATCTCACCATATAACAGAGAATCAAATAGGTGATAGCATATCAATTAAACATCTAAATTGTAGGAGAAAAATCAAATTATGACAAGTAAAAAGCCACACACTTGAATTAGAAATGCATCATATTTTTTCATTTGGATTGCAGGGAGATCGGAATCAGCATAAGTGCCAGGAAGACGGAGATGCATATGATCATGACTTGGTAGCTACTTCCCTTGCACCAACACCCTCGTTCATAGCATCCCTCTCTTGATCACTTTTATGATCAGTATAGATCTGAAAGGTCTTTCCGTATAAATAATGGCGCCAGGTTTTCAAGGCGTGTATGATTGCGGCAAGTTCCAAGTCATGGGTGGGTAATTTTTCTCATGATTCTTTAACTGTCTGGACCCATAGGCTATGACCTTCTCATGCTGCATTAGGACACAACCCATGCCTAGATAGGAGGCATCACTATAAACTGTATATCCCCCCGATCCATTCGGTAAAGCCAGTACGGGTGCAGTGGTCAGCCACTCCTTTAATTCTGAAAAACTTCTCTCACAATCCTCATTCCACTCAAACTTGGCATTCTTCTTTGTGAGTCGAGTTAGGGGAGCTGCTAGACTAGAGAATCATTCGACGAAGCTGCGGTAATAACCTGCCATTCCCAGGAAGCTACGGATTTCCTTAACTGATGTCAACTTTTCCTAGCCAAGTACCACTTCAACCTTTTCGGGATTCACTGATACTCCTTCCTTCGATATGATGTGTCCTAGGAAGGCGGTATGCTCAACCTAGAATCCATACTTACTCAACTTTGCATATAGCTTCTTTTTTCTGAGGACCTGTAAAACTTGGGCTAGATGGTGAACATGCTCTTCTTTGCTTTTTGAGTAGACCAAGATGTCATCGATGAACACGATAACAAATTGATCCAAGAATTCTCTGAAGACCCTGTTCATCAGATCCATAAAAATGGTCGGGGCGTTGGTTAGCCCAAATGGCATGACTAGGAACTCATAGTGTCTGTACCGGGTTCGAAAGGCCGTTTTGGGGATGTCTTCTATTCTTATTTTCACTTGATGGTAACCTGATTGTAGGTCTATTTTGGAGAAGACCTACGCACCCTGCAGCTGATCGAAGATGTCATCAATTCTGGGAATGGGATATTTGTTCT